ATCCATCAGACAGACCACCTCACCTCCTCCATGAGCAGGAACATCATAGAGGGCTATATTTACCAGCTTCTTCTCAGCCGTCAAAAAAAAATTTGAGAAGCCCTCCAAACGATGACCGAACGAGACAGAGTGACCCTCCTTCTCCACACCTCTTTCTTTTCTTTCTCTTTTTCTTAAGGAAAATTGTCTGACAGGTTCACAGCACTCTTCTTTTTCATTCGTTGCTGTCTTTTAGTAAGTCAGGTGAGTTGGAAGAAGTGGTGCAAACCCTGTATTTTATTTTTCCTTTCAGTTTCTTTTCCTTCCTTCCCTTTTCTTTCTGAGCATTAAAAAATACAAAAAAAAATTTAATTAAATAAAAATCGCAAAAAAAAAATAACACTCCCCTTCCGTGAATCGCCACCTTATCGTGGTGGAAGGGTTTGCGTGCCCCAATGATCCCAGATGCTATGATGTCATGAGCACTGTGCTATGCATCTGATGGCAGCATGGTTCTAGATGAGGGGCCAGACTAAGAGCGATTCAGTCACTGATTTGATTGTGGATTTGGTTGGTTTTAAAACAATCTATCAGATCAGTGGTCGGTTTCAAGTGGATGAAGGTTACATGGATTTCTGGTTTGTTTTTTCAAGGTTTAATTTACCAGATACAATTTTTGAGGAACATGTGTTTTGTCTACATGTGTTTTGTGGATTTGGAGAAGACGTTCGACCGCGCCCCCTGGGGGTTACTCTGGGGGTATGGGGTACCAGGCTTTCTGATGATTAGAGTAGATGTTAAGTCCCTGTTTGACGCGTGTCAGAGCTTGGTCCACATTGCTCGCAGTAAATCGAGCTCACTTCCAGTGAGAGATGGACTTTACCAAGGCGACCCTTGGTCACCGATTCTGTTCATAACTTTTATGGACAGGATTTCTAGGTGCAGCCAAGGTGTTGAGGTGATCTGTTTTGGTGGCCTGAGGATCAGGTCTCTGCATTTTGTAGATGATTTGGCTTCATCAGAACGTGATCTCCAGCTTTCGCTGCAGCGGTTCGCAGCCGAATGTGAAGCGGCTGGTTTGAGAATCAGCTCTTCTAAATCTGAGACCATAGTCTTGAAACTGAAAAGGGTAGTATGCCTTCTCTGGGTCAGAGATGAGGTCCTGCCCGCAAGTGGGGGAGTTCAAGAATCTAGCTGTCTTGTTCACAAGTGAGGGAAAGCTGGAGCGTGAGATTGATAGGCGGACTGGTGCTGCATCTGCAGCGATGAGGGCATTGTGCCGATCTGTCGTGGTGAAAAGAGAGCTCAGCCAGGAGGCAAAGTTTTCGATTTAACGGTTGATCAACGTTCCTACTCTCACCTATGGTTATGAGCTTTGGGTAGTGAGTGCAGTGAGAGGTTTTGGAGCTTTACTGATCCACCGCCGAAAAAAATCCATGAGGTTGCTGCTGCATGATGGATGTATGCAGAACTTTGTTAACGTGCCTCTCCCTTAAACCACTACCCTGCAATCAGAGATCTGCGACTCTGCCGCATAACCAAATCTGCAACATCATCCTTGGCGCTCTGTCTGTATGAGGGGATATGGCGTTTCCTTCTGACGGATGAGTTCACATGGAGATCTGACAGATGGATGAGGTGACATGGCAATGTCACTGGTTGATGAGGTAATATGGTGCTATGGCTAATGGATAAGATGACATGGCATTCCGAATGATGGATGAGGTGACATGGCGATTTCACTGGTTGATGAGGTGACCTAGTGCGCTGTCTGATGGAGAAGGTGACGTGACGTGCCAGCTGATGGTTGAGGTGATGTAGCGTTTTGACTGATACATGAGGTGATGTGTTATTCCTTCCAATAGATGCATCTTAGTGGTGTTCTGACTGGTCTGACTTGGCAGGCTGATGGGACGAAGACTTGGCCTCCGCAGGCTGACGTGATGAAGACTGCGGAGGCCGAGTCGTCGTCCCGTCAGCCTGCAGAGTTGACGTGACGTTCCAGCTGATGGATGAGGTGATGTTTTATTCCTTCCAATAGATAGTATTAGTGCGCAAAATGGATGTCATCTCGGAGAGGGTTACCGGACGGTATGGACAAGTTTAAAAACCAAATTGGCTTCACTGGAGGACTTGAATGATCAGTTTAAAGACTGAAGGCAGAGAGAAAATTATCTCAGCCTGACCCGAACAAAGTCTTGTTATCAGAATCTGACACCATAGCAGCCTTCAAGATGCTAACAACAAACCCGCACGAAGGAATGCAGACAGATGCTGTGAAAACCCCTCCTGGTGGGAGAGTAGCTATGAAGTGCCTTTTTTGCCCTCCTCCCGAATCAATTCCTCATGTTACCCTCTTATCTCTATTAAGGTAGCGCGACTCGGGGGTTGCGAATGACCACAGTCACCAATTCTTGTCATGTGTCTTGCCCATGTATGTCTGATCTCTGAATTGTGTGTACTGAAACTCTAATTTCCCTCTGGGATTAACAAAAGGGGAAAGGATCAGGCAGTTCATGGAGACAAAAGGGGACAAGGATCAGGCAGTCCATGGGGACAAAAGGGGACAAGGATCAGACAGTCCACAGTCCATGGGGACAAGGGGACAGGGATCAGTTAGTCCACAGTCCATGGGCTTAACAGGGCACCCGTGAGGGGATAAAAGGGCATATCTCCGCCGGCCATACAGTTCAGTTCATGGGCACGCGGTTCATGTACGAGAGTCCATAGTTCGCAAGCGCTCATTGGCTTATGTGGTCCCAAGATTCCCCCCTTTTTGGTCAAAAGGGTGGATTAGGACAGTCTTTGAGCTAAAACAAGGACTCACTTTGTGAAACTGCAAGTTATAGTTAGCATATATTTGTTTCCTCTTGCCGATTTGGGAACCGGTCCAACCCAGTCGATCTGCAGGTGGGACCAAGGGAAGGTTATTCCCCTGCGATGCAGTGGTGCTCTAGCGAGCGGCTGGGAGGGTTGAAACTGGGCACAGATGGGGCAGCCTTGGACTTACCTGTGTACATCCTTGGGCATCGACGGCCAATATGCTACTTCTGTCAGTGACGCGAGAGTAGCTTTTGCTCCGCGGTGACCTCCAACCGGAGTGTTGTGGGCGTATGCAAGCATTACTCCTCTGTGGTCGAGTGGAACAACCCAGCGCAGCGGGCTGTGGTCGTCACGCATGTAAACTAACAAATCGTTTTGTAGTTTCAGGTGCGCGAGCTGACGATGCATTTTCACCAAATCTCTGCTTTCGCCAGTAGGTGGTGACGGTTGTTCAGGCATCGGGCCCTTGAGGAGAAGCTCGCGGATGAGCTTCAGGTCAGGAAATTGTTCCTGCATGGTGACTAGGTCCACATCCTGTGGTTTTCTGCCTAGAAACAAGAGTACCCCAACATTCTCAGGTTCGCCTGCCTATTTAGCATGGCGACGAGTAATCGCGCAGACCTAGTGAACGGCCTTGGGTGGAAGCCACTCGTCTTTGAATTCCCAGCAGGTTCCCTGGTCAGCACCGAGCTTAGCAAGGCAGTCAGCTTCGTCATTACCATCTTTCTCTGGACCTAGGGTCCTGGAGTGACCTTTGACCTTTCTCCAGTAGACCATTATGCCTTTCTCAGTGGTGAGCAGATCACACGCTAGGAATAACTCAGAGTGTTTCGCGTCTTTGTTCCTGGCGTTTTTCATGTGGTTCTCCTTCCAAATGGGGAAGTGAGAAATGAAGCTGTGTATAGCGTAGTTTGAATCCAAGCAAAGGACGATTTGAGTAATGTCCAAGGCTGCCGCCTGCTGGAGGGTTATCAACACTGCAGCGATTTCAGCGTACTGACTAGACTTTTGGCCCAACCGGTAGTGATTTGGTTGCTTGGTGTCACAGTCTACCCAAACGACTCCAACCCCAGCACGGAGCTGGCCTTCGTGAAGGTAGGCACATCCGTCAGTGTAGACTTTCGGAAGCTCTTGGCAAACATTCTCATCAAAGTAGCGATGATTGGATGCGGTTGGGTAGACAGCGGCAGGTGTGTCCAGGGGGCCCATGATGGAGTCAGAGTCAGAGTGCTGGCAGCCTGCTACACACTTAAAACTGCTGGGTTAAAAATAACCCAATTTGGGTTGTTTTGTAACCCAGGTGCTGGGTCAAAAAGGGACCGACCCAGTGCTGGGTTATTTTAACCAAGCAGGGTTGGGTTATGAGTTTGACCCAGCTTATTGGGTTATGCTTTCTACCCAATGGGTTAAAATGACCCAACTGTATAGTTAGGACTACCCAAAACTGGGTTAAAAATAAAACCCAACTTCTGGGTTATTAAATTACTAAATCTTGGGTTAAAATGACCCAATTTTATAGTAAATACAATACAATAAATAAAATACAAATTGAATAATTCAATAAAACAAAATGAACATGTCTCAGTCAAATCTTTATCACAAAAATTATGTTAATTTTCAACATACATAGATAACAAATAAAGTTGCATTTTCTACTTTCTCTAAACATGCATTCATATTCATACTTGTTTTGTAAATGACTACTAATTGCATTTTTTAATGACAAATATTAAACATTCCGTAACTTGTAATGTCTTAAACATGTTAAACAACTTTAATGGAAGAACTGTAGTGAAGTAAATGTCCATCAACACCCATCACTCACCTTAATGCTTTAGTCAGCAGAACATCAACCTTACTACATGAGCCCTCAAAGCTTCACAGCATTTGATTCATGATGCAAAGATAAATGTCTGAATAAACCCCCAAATCTGTGCACGTGGTTTTGGATAGTTGACATCAACACAAAAAAATGTTTAAGAACAGATGGGTATTCAGTTCCATTGATGATCAAAAATTCTTGGGAACATCGTTGGTCTTCTGCAGCCATAAGGACATGTGGTGCTCCACTGTGGTCCCATTCAGGTTCTTCACCAGACTGGTTCCAGTCTAAGTTGAGGGGGATAGAGGAAAAAAAGAACAGATTTAGGCATAAAGGTTATGATTTCACAAACAGCTGTTGAAAAATATTTGGAGTGGGCTGTGAATGATAACTGAAGTAAAAAAATAACAGAACTTACTGGTTGGAAGTCAGTGAAGGCCTGCTGAACCTCTGCTTGGTCGGAACGCTCTCCTTCAACTTGTATGGCACAGTTTGGAGAAGCACTGGCAGCAACAACAAAGTCACATCCACCCATTTGTCTGTAAAATTGAAATGTGTTACATTATTCACATGACTGTAGCATAAAGGCCCTCTGCTGTTAGCAGGGATGCTACCACTGGTATAAAATAGCCAGAAGGCCTAACATCCCCCAGTAGAGCCTCACTATGTCAGGGAGTGTGGACAGAAGATCACAACATTTTCCAGAGCACTTGTGCTGCATATTCTGTGTTACATTCTATCTAAAACATATCGATGCTAGGAAGCTAAGTAGCCAGCTACCTAATCTAAACTATGAGTCGGTTGTCTTGAACAGACAGGCTAAAAATCAGTTACTTTATCAACTACATGTCCAGTTTTAATGAAATTAATCTTTAAACTCTTTATTAGTAACGTCTAGCCTTGTCCTAGCGCTAGCTTGGTGTTCTGACCATACTTGACCTTGTAGGAGACAAAAGCTGTGTACGTGAGGTTCAACTTGCTGTTTTTCATCTTTGTGGGCCAAAAGGTTCACCATCCTGTTTTTCAGTCCAACTTGTGTAACTTCCAGCTAACCTTGAGCTCTTTGACCATATTGGAGATAACAGGGCTCGTCGACCTCTGGGCTGGAGGGCGCGTTGACCATATTGGGAAGTGTAAACATCACCCCATCCTCTCTCAAAGGACTGTGGGAGTAACAATATAAAATAAGCCTGCATCTTCGTGGCAGGAGGGCTTTTGCAGAAGGATTCCAGCCGAGGCATTTAGTACCAGGCTGCAGGCTGTCCCATGAGCTTTTGGTGATGTATTGATGAATTGTGCAAATAAATGCCCCACGCTGTGTTTGGACAAAACGTGTCTCTCTCTTGTGTTTTGATAAGGCAAAAGAACCACAACCTCAATGTCGTATCCTTGGAGCACCATCAACTACGTCGCAATGTGGCTGTTCGACACTCTTCCTTCACACATTTGCTGGCTGTTTAGGAAGGTGACGGGCTGATGACACGTTTCAGTGATCACTTTCTGTCCTCCGATGTAACTACGAAAGTGTTCGACTGCCCAGACTGTAGAGAGGAGAGCTCTCTCGCAGTCTGAGAACTGGAGTTCCACCTTGCTCAGAGGCTTGCTGGCGTATGCCACGACTCTCATGTCCTGATTGTGTCTCTGCTTCAAAGCCGCGCTCAGGCAGTGAGAGGAGAAAGAAGCCTCAATGTAGAACTCTTTATCCTTGTCTGGGTAAGCCAGACAGGGTGCGGACGCCAATTTCTGTTTTAGGAACTGGAAGGAGAGTTCTTGGGGTCTGTCCCACACGAACGGTGTGTCGTTCCGAAGCAGCTCAGTGAGGGCCCTTGCTATTTCAGCGTACTCCTCAATGAACTGCCTGGAGTAGTTGCAGACTCCGAGGAAGCTCCTGAGTTCAGTCAGATTAGCTGGGGCTTTGATGTCCTGAATGGCCCTAATGCGTCCCGCTTGGGGCTCGACTCCATTAGGGCACACCAACAGTCCAACATACTCCAGTTTGGTTCTACACCACTGTCCTTTGAGAAGTGCCAATTTAGCTCCGGCGGCAGCGAGTTGCTGCAGCACATGGCGGAGCTCGGCCAGGTGCTCCTCGAAGGTTCGACTCCTCATCAAGATGTCGTCGACATATATGAGGTTCCCTCTGGAAGCAGCATCCGACATGGCTTTGTGGAGGAAAATGTTGAACTCAGCAGGTAAGTTAGAGTAGCCAAAGGGGCAGCGGTTCCAAGTATATTGGCAATTTCCAAAGGAGAAAGCCAGTTTATACTGGTCCACCGGCTCAACCTTCATGGTCCAGAAACCGTTGGCTACATCAACCGTAGAGAAGAAACGAGCAGCTCTAAATCTGGCTAGCTCTTGGTCTAAATGGATCATAGGCCACTGTGAGAGAGGTACTTGTTTGTTCAGTACACGATAGTCTATGGTGAGACGCCATTTCCCAGTCTGTTTCAGAACCGGTCAGATGGGAGAGTTATAAGTGGAGTTACACTCTCTGATGATGCTTTTCTCCTTCAGCTGATCGAGGATCTCCTGGATCAACTCATAAGCAGCGAGGGGAATCTTGTACTGGCGTACAAAAGTAGGAGGGGCATTCGGGTTCGTTGGAATGCGAACCATGTGTAGGTCTGTGAGTCCACAGTCCAGGGAGTCCCTGGATAAGACGGACTGAAACTCATAGAACAGGCTTCTAAGCTCTGCTCTCTGCTCCTCTGATTCCAGCGCATCCGCTTTGTCAAGCTGCTGGCTGATTTCGGCCTCAAAAACAAATCAATTGGAAACATGGTGCGAATATCGCAAAATACGGAACATTGTAACCAAACTGAATAAAAACAAAAAACAATTATATTATCATAGAAGAATCATAGAAGCTAAATTAGATCATGCAAAGGTGTGGGGTACATTAAATGAGCTTTTGGGGGTTAAAAAAAGGAAGGCACCTACTGTTCTAGAGGCAGAAGAAGTTTTTTTAACCAAACCAAAAGAAATAGCTGATTATTTAAAACTGTTTTTTATCAATAAAATTAAAACATTGAATAATACCAGGGAGGAGAGAAAAGAAGAAAATACATCTTATCAAAGAATTAAGGACGATATCATGCAAATGAAAGATTGTGAGTTTAAGTTTATGGAGGTATCAGAGGATTACATTAAAAAATTAATCTTAAATAGTAAAGATAAACCCCCTGGAATGGATGATATTGATATAAGATTGCTCAAATTGGTGGCAGATTTTATTTTACTGCCAGTTTCACATATTATTAACATAAGTTTTAATCAAAGTATTTTTCCAGCCCAATGGAAAAAGGCTAAAGTAATTCCATTAATCAAAAATAACCGAGAACCACTGTCTGGTAAAAATAGTCGGCCAATAAGTTTGCTACCAGCATTAAGCAAACTTTTGGAAAGAGTAGCATATGAACAAATACAAGAATATTTTATAACAAATAGATTAAACACAATTTATCAACATGCATATAAGGCGGGTCACTCCACTACTACTGCACTTGCTCAGATTACTGATCATTGGTTAGAAGAAATAGATGATAAAAAGTTAGTTGGTACTATATTTTTAGATTTGAGTGCAGCTTTTGATGTGATTGATCATAAAATCTTATTAAAAAAATTAGAACGTTATAAATTTCAGTCGTCCGCCATTAAGTGGACAGAAAGTTATTTAACGAATCGCAAATTCAACTTCTATTTTAATGGCAGTTATTCTGAAACGGGTCAGTTAGATTGTGGAGTGCCACAGGGCAGTTGTTTGGGCCCTCTTTTGTTTTCTATTTTTATTAATGACTTACCTTTGATTTTAAAACATGCAACCATGGCTATATATGCAGATGACACAACATTATTTGCATCAGCACAAACAGAAGGCCAATTAAATTATATTTTAAAAAAGGAGTTGGATTTAGTTACACAATGGTTTAGAATGAACAAACTAGAAATCAATGCAGAAAAAACTAAATGCATTATAGTGGGGAATACATATACACTACAGATGACACCTAGACTGCATTTGAAGCTAGGTAACATAGCGATAGAGCAGGTAGAAGAAGCAAGACTGTTGGGGGTAATTGTGGATTCTAGATTGTCATGGACTAGTCACATAAATCATGTCCTGCTGAAACTTGGAAGAAGTATGGGCACGATCAAATATTGTTGTAAATTTATTCCTCGTTTGCAGATAAAAACTTTAGTTCAAACATTAGTACTGTCTCATTTAGATTACGCATCAGTTATTTGGTCTAATACAAGTGAAATGAATTTAAATAAGTTACAAGTGGCACAAAATAAAGCTGCACGAATTGTTCTGGGTTGTAATTATAGAACAAATGTAAGTATAATGCACGATAGGTTGGCCTGGTTAACAGTGAAATGTAGATTAAAATATTCACTGATCACATTTATAAGAAATATAATAACTACAAAAATACCTAAAATAATTTATGACAAATTATCATTTTTTTCAGACAATCATGATTACACGACGAGACAGACAAGTGACATAAGGTGCACACTACCGCGCTGCAGAACTAATCAAAGGCAAAGAGCAGTTTATTACAGAGCCATGGTTGCATGGAATGCCATACCGAGATTTTTGTTATTAGAGAACAACAGAAGATGTTTTCAAAAGAAGTTAAAGCTTTTCTTGTTCACACAACAGTAAATTTTGCACAGTGAATTGTAAATGTGACTGATATGACAGCTTCTATAATTTTTGTTTGTTATGGATGTGATGTGATATGATTTTTGATTCTTGAATATAGTTATTTATTGCTCTGTGTAAACTCTCCGTTTTCACCTATTTAGATTTTTCATGAACTCTGAAGTGTGTGGTAACTTATTGGTATATTATAGCAATTGAGGTGGTACGATTATAATGAGCTCCTGGAGTTTGTTGTTGTTGGGTGTGTGTGTGTGTGTGGGGATGGGGATGGGGGTGTTTTGTTAAATATTTGTAATGAAATTGAAAGAGACCTCAGGAAGAATAGCTCCACACTATGGTGTGAGCTAATGAGGTTCTCAATAAATAAAATAAAAAAAAATAAAATAAATAAATAAAATAAGGTTCAGAGGAGGAGGGTCTCTGGTGGTCCGGGCTTTCAACCGGTGACCCAGATGGCTGAATATTTATTGCAAAAACCGTTAGACACTGACTGCTGTTAGACACTGACTGCTGTCAGTATCTAAGGTTGCGCTGCAAATGGGTTCCTCAGGAATGGCTTCATGCCGCTTAATGGTAATCATTTGTGAGGGGAAAGTACTAAATGTATCTGCCCCAATCTGTCTGTCGTTCACGAACAAGGGAAGTTGTCCGATCACGGGGACTGAAAGTTCGAAGTCATGGAAGGAGCTATCTATCAGCATGCCCAAGGGCTTCCCCCACTGGCAGGTGGACGGGACTCCGGGTCGGATTTTCGACCAACAAGTAGACAGAACGATTGTTCAGCTCCAAGAGGGGCGTGCCACAGACGGCCAAGTTGAGCTCCAAGAAATGCGGTGATGGCTGGAAGAAGGCTTGTGTGCCTGACAGCTTCTGATGCTTCATCAGAGTCAGACGAACAGGCATTTCTTTGACCTGTGGAGGTAGAACTGTGCTGGCCTCAACCACTGCTCGGCAGACCTGTGGAATGGTCTGCCCGGACAGCAAGTGCTCATGGCCTTCTGGGCGAGGCTCAGGTGATGGAGTGGCACGGGCCCAAAGGACTTGATTGCAAGTGTCCAGCTGGGCACCTAGTCGAACCAGCAGGTCTGCTCCAATGAGTGTAGGTGGGTCAAGCTGTGGTATGATGCTGAATGTATGTGTGAGCTGTCTTGCTCCAAGCTGGATAGTCAGAGAGCAGACCTCTGGCACTTTCAGGAGCCTCTGTGGCCAAGTAGCTGACAAGAGCCGGTGGCTACGTGTCACACTGACCAGCAGGGGATCCTTCTTGCCCAGGTGTTCAAGCATCTGTTGGCTGATGGCTGACTTTTCTGACCAAAGAGCAAGGCGAGCATCTGAGATGTGGGTGCAGTTGATGGTGAGACCACCAACTATGTGTGGTGCATATGGCTGCAGGCTGACGTTCTTTAGCGAGCAGAGAAAAGACGCATGTGTGCGGAGAGGGGTTCCAGGAGCGGTTCGTGCCTTTGCAGGCGGACATCGTCTGTGGGAGCCGTAGGGAGGGGCATGACCTTGGAACAAGGGTTTTGCGGCTCATTTAGGCTGATTTCAAAAATGGAGGATGGTCGGCTGCTATCTGGGTTCCAGGGCTTAGGTGTGTCCCCTTGAGCCCAAAGTTGATCCTTCTGGCAGTCGATGAGGGGAGCTAGACGTTCAAGCAGGTCCTGACCAATGAGAAGTGGTTCAGTGTCTAGCTGGCAGACATAAAACGGGTGAACCAGAGTCATGTCTTGGAAGGTGATGTCCAGCCACACCCGGTTAGTGATACACTCCCGGGTCTGGGTGTAGCTGGTGATTTT